CATTGTAATTCATGTCCTGCCAACACTGGCAGGACAGAAGGCGACACGCTCGTTCTAAGCCGTGTCCCTCACTCCTCACATCCCAAACTGCATCCCCAAAAAGTTAATTATGTTGTTACATCGTTTCAGATGTTGTGTTTCAGTTGTGCTCTTGATAAGCCATTAAAACAGTAAAAACACATTCCTTTTGCTTTTTGTGTCTCCTGTACACCAACACATACCCATCTGTGATGGAAAAAGAAAGTAATCCAAAAGTAATCTAAAAGTAATCTGATTACTGTATTCGGATTACTTTCAGAGCCATGTAATCAGTAATCAGTAACTGATTACATTTACAAAGTAACCCTCCCAACCCTGGATATAATACATGTTTAGTATGCTTACTTATATAAAACAGTAGTATTAAACTTACCTTGTGTGTTCACTCTCACTTAAGTCCCTCTCCCTTTGCCATCAATCCAAAATCAGCTGAGCTGCAACATTATACACACAGGTAATAATCAACATAATCACAAGGACACAATATGGCTCTGCTAAAAACACTCACTCTTACACGCACCAAGGTTATAGTTATCTAATATTTAACTCCCTCCACCCCCGCATACAATCCCGTTTAGAAGCCCCTCTTCTCTAATTCAACAACGTTGGACCAAATAGACATTAAGAGAACGGAATTTACAATTAAAAGGCTGTTCAACGTGTGTTGCTAACTTGCTTCGGTATCCTAGCTTGATCTGTTATCTGTAAACGTTCCCTAAATCTACTAATTTAGGGATAATCCACTGACATCCTTTAATACACATGTTCAATTGAATCAGATGTACTGATAATATCCGCAATATAAATCTTTAAACTTCTTCTTACCTTTAAAAGTCTGTCACGAACGGTCTATTATGCTGCAACTCCACAGCTCTGCTAGCCTTGGCGCTAACTTCCGGGGAACGATTGAGAGGCTCCACCATCCGCCAAAGTGGTCCATTGGAGTGAACGGAGATGTCATAACTCTTCTATTATATGGCTCTGCGCCAGACTATCAAAAACTGGACTTGGACGGGTCCAGCCCAGCCCTCCTCCCCCCCCAGAATTACACATGCTGGCTATTGTGTGTTTCGCAACATGTTCTATGGCACGTCTCTACTGGGAATTGTAGTTTTAAAAGACGTTTTCGTATTTCCCACAATTAGAAGTTGCCAGTATTAAACTGTATACTTCCCTGGAGGTTTAGGGGATACGAAACATATTGGTGTTATCAAATGTAAAACATATAATTAATACATGGGTGAAAATTGCTTGTGTCCATAATGGGCAGCATTAATATACCCACATGACAGCTAAGGTCAGAAGAGCTTTATTTAACAGCTGGTCTTATGTCTGTGACCCCTCCTGTTGTTAATTGATAAGCCTGAAACATGCACTTGTCAAGGTTCAGATGCACATTTAGCAGATATGGCAGTAGCCATCGATCATCTTAAGATAAGATAAGATAAGATACTTTATTGATCCCAAATTGGGAAATGTTTTTGTTACAGCAGCATGTACTACTTTGTTCTACTCCACTACAATTCAGAGGTTAACCTGGTATTCTCACTCCACTACATTTATTTTAGTTACTTTGCAAATTCTGATTAATGATGTGAAATATAAACAACCCTTAAATCAGACTTTAGTTACACCTGAGTAAAATTCAGCCTTATCAGTTTGTCTGTTTTGCACATCCTCCCCTCCATCTTTGGACGTCTTGCACTAAACTGTTTTATTGTAGAGATCACTACAGTATCTTCTTGATATTTTATATTTTATATTTCTATCATTGACCCCTATTTTGTATGTAGGCTACTCTTAATATTTAAAAGTTTTCATCAAATATAACTTATTCAACAACTAAATGCAATAACATGCTTTAACCACTAGGCGGTGCGGTTTATAAAACCAGTGGTCTAGTTAATAAAACATAATAATATCAAACACAATATGACTATTCACTTTATTGTGAAATTAAAACAGAACGGTAAAGGAAAATACAGTTTCAGTCTCTCGATGTGAAGCTTATGCATTGTACCATGAACCTGTATAGACCTGTAACAGTCAACTGCATGAGGAGTTGGAAAGGTAGTAAATAATATCTTTAAAATATCTACCAAAAAAAATCCTTTTCTATCAGCTGTGAACCGTTATGGTGTAAATATAACCTATCTACCAATTGGATCAAATATAAAAGTCAGCCAAATTAGTGTTGACACTGCAAGGAGACGTATTGTGTGAAAAGAAATGGAAGATGTTGTTTAATTGTTGATATATTTATGGTCCACGTCACGTATTCAGTTTTGGCGGCATCTCTTCCAGTTTGTCCAGAAGTCTTCTGATCAGGGCTCTATAAATACATATCTACGGCAGATATGTAATATTTAATGCAGCCGAACTGTGTATTACAATGCCGTTATGTGATGACTTTCAAAGAGAAAAGCAAGAACACTCGGAATAAAGTATTATTTTATTTTTTAAAAATGTTTTCCGATTTCATATCACATAATCACCAAATCCCGACGTGCATTGCGGCGTGATTTTAGCCTATCAAAACCTCTGAAAAAAGAAATGTGTCTCTCAGAATCGAAAGAGAAAAACCTATGGGAAAAACACAAAAGCATTGAACACAATTTAAACCAATACATTTCGTACAATTAACTAGGATAAACTGATGTTTTTTAGTGGATGAGTACTGCAGATATCACTGTTAAATCATTTGAATTTTGGTTTTATTATTAAAACGTCGAGACCGGAAATACTGTTTTCAACCCGTAACTTTACATGGAAGCTTGCCGCATATTCACGTTCTCCTGACGAAACCTCAAATCATCTTCATAATATCAAACTATAGATCCTACATATCGACTGGACATGGATTCTAAAAGTACAATATATACTTCTCGCTAGAAATCTAATCAAAAAGCGTTTTAATGGCCAAACTATCCTACAATTTAGGATTTTACAGAGAGGGTTATTTGTAAATAAACGACCCTCTGTTGTAACGTTTGCATTCAACGGGAGCACTAGAGGCCGAAAACTTTAAAACATATTTATAGGTCGTATTAAGCGCTTGAACAAACTACATATTTGGTCGTAATAAGGGCTTGAACAATCGACCCATTTGGTCGTATGAGTTGGAGGACTTGTTGTGCATACCCTATAGTCGCATATACAGAGCACAATGATATAGGACTACATAATCATCCCTCAAGGCTTTTTCTGCTGCAATCTTTGGGGTTCATAATGTGCTGCTGTTACATTTCTTTACTGCTATTTAAAAGAAACAGAGTAACTACGTATTAATCTCCTTTACTCAAGAAAGCAATACCACTATCATCATACCACTTCTGTTGTCGCTGTGGCTATTGTTGAACTAACAGCATTCAGGCAGACAGATGATCAATGGTCTTTAGTGCAGGAGTGCATCAAAGCGTTTTTTGACATTGTATTGCTTTCTTTATGAATAAATGTTAATTGCTGAATATCCAAGCTACGAACAGAGCCACCTTTTCTTTTTTTCTTTGTCAATGTATTGAACATGTGAGAAACAAAACATACAACAATAATAACATCTATATATATATTTTTTTTACTTAGAATAATAATTATAACAAAGTACAAAACATTTTAAAAATGTAAAAACAAATTCTCAAATAGTCTGTCATGTTCAACCTTCAGACAGGAAGGTCAGGACTGACATTCAGCATTGGGTTCTTGGTGGAGTCAATATTCCCTATTTAATCAAGGGAGTGTGAGCTTCACTGACAGGAGTGTCAGACTGTAGTGCTCGGCCTTCTTGTGTGCTCAACTTGTCTAGTTGCGCACAGTAAAGATAATAGGTCCGTTTGTTGCACATTTCTTCACGATAGTACAAACATACATCAACATGCTCCAACATGTAATATTCCCTCAATAATTGAACCTGCGTGATACAGAACATCATGTCTTTCCAAGCCCTATTATCATAATTCCAGATCCAGAGACACTGGCATGTGTGGAATCCACATAAATCAATTGAAAAACAAGAAGTCTTCCCTCATTCATTATTTAGTCACTCTCTCCATGTTCGCAGTATCTTTTCAAGTTTAGCAAAACTGGCAGGCAGTGTTTACGTTAAGCTCCAGTCTATTATTTATGCAAAATAATCGTCAGAGAATATGAGCGAGTGTGTGGGTGGGTACTGTTGACACAATACAAAATGCATGTACTGTGCGTGCGTGTGTGCGCGTGTGAGATTACATCGACTGAACATTTGTGATGGCTGTCCAATGATACAATAAAACTGGAACTGAGAGTTTGCATAAAGGAGAATGCATTGTCGCACAACAGGGTAAACACGCATAATATAGTGCATGTGGGGTCGGATATTTATTAAGGCAGTCAACAGCCAGCGATACGTTATGTGTAATTAAACAACATAAACCTGATGTGAAAAACTAAGCCATGTATGACGTTTTTTCTTTACATTACATCTGTTACGGCCACAGCATTAAAACATTTGTGGCTCACGTTGTGACCTGAAACATATATTTCAAACGCCAAGCCGATAGAGATGGTTTATCTAACATTTCAATTCAAACTAACTTAAACAATAGAAGTCTGGAGGACTGGCCAAAAAGAACAAAAGGATGGAGGAAGCCTGGACCAGCCACACGATGGGCCGTCGGACCCAGAACTCCCCCGAAAAACTAAAAGGCAAATTAACAAGTTAAACTAATAAATAAAGCCGCGAAAATTGGACTACCAGAGGCCTGTACTACGAAGCCGGATTTTCGCTTAGCGAGCTAACTTCAGGGAAAACTCTGGGTTTCCGGTCCTACGACGCTGGATCACTTCTTAGCGGGGTAGATCTCCATGGTAACTTATGCTGAACCTGCTCCTGGTCCGGAGCAGGTTTGGTTGCAGGATAAGAGATCAGTTTATAAGAGATCAATTTATAAAAGCTCCGCCTATCGACCAATGAATTCTCTGTGAAAATGACGTCGCCATTTGTCGATGACACTGTGGAGCTCGAAGCGAGAATTTTGAGAGGCGCTCTCAGACGGGTGAGGATCTTTAGGGACAGACTAAACCCTTTGGCTTTCTCTGAAGAGTATTTGTATGAAAAATATAGGTTCTCGTCAGAAGGGCTGACATATCTGTGTCAGCTCCTCGAGCCATATATTGCTAATGCCACACATTGGAGTTGTGCACTTAGTGCTGTATGTATTGCTTTGCGTTACTTTGCAACTGGTAGTTTTCTCTATGCTGTGGGTGATGTAGAGAACCTCAGCAATAATACAGTCTGCAGTGCTATTCATAAGGTCGCACATGCTCTGGTAGGGCTCGCAGAGTCCTTTGTTGTGTTTCCTGACACATGTCCCACGCAGACGATCAAAGAGGGATTTTACAGCATGGCAGGTATTGATATGTGATTATCTTTACAGTGAATGTTGTTCCTATGACGTACACTGTTGTATAATAAATGCAGCCTACTATTTCATAGGGTTTCCCAGGGTGCTTGGCTGTATCGACTGTACACATATACCGATCTCTGCGTGTCTGAGAGAAAATGAAGGCGACTATGTAAATCGCAAATTATTCCACAGCCTCAACATTCAGGTAAATATTTCACATTCACTTATAGAACACACATTGAAGTCTGGGTGATTAAAGGAAATCACACATTTAAATATTCACACAGGACATGTTTCACACTTAGACTATATTTCTCTATTATGGACTCATTTCAAATGAAATGTGATGCTACACTGACTATGATGCTCTTATTGTGGAAGTAGGCTTGTTAACCCCAAATGCTTTAGCAGTGTGACCACAGGTGTCTAATCACGAGCCTTGAGGCAAAGTGGCCTGGGTCAGTCTATGACTCAAGGATTTTTTCTGAGTCTTCACTGTGTCAAACTCGAGCAGGGTATGGAAACTGTACATTCTTATTGTTTTGTGCTTCTTAAGCTGCCTTTTGTGGTGCTTATTATGGAAATGTTCCTTTATCTTCAGGGCTCTTCAGTAGAGTGCTGCTTGGGGACAGGGGTTATGCCTGCCAGCCTTTTCTGATGACCCTGTATCCTGACCCTGGTGAAGGGCCACAAACCAGTTTTAATGTGGCCTATGCCAAAACCAGGGTCAGAATTGAAATGACCTTTGGGATACTGAAGGCCCGATTCACCTGCCTGCGGGGGCTCAGAGTGGCCCCTGAAAGAGCTTGCCACTACATAACGGCCTGTGTTGTGCTGCAGAACATTGCCACAATGAGGAAGGAGAGGGCCCCTCCTGCAAACCCCCAACCTCCTGATGTGGTAGACCCCATCACCCTGGACTACCCTACTGGCAGGGCTGTCAGAGAAGCTATCGCGTTATTATTTGCTTAATACAAAAAAAAACACACAGAGAGAGAGAGAGAGGCCTTGGATGATTTGTGTTGGAGTCTTTATTTATTCAGCCATTTCTGAAGGAAAAAAAAAACATAATTTTGGTTGACTTTTTCTGTAAAGAAAAAAAGGGATTTGTCTTGTAGGTATCCTAAAAGATGTAAAGGTCACCTTAAAAATAAAATGTATTACTGAATGTTACAAAATTAGCTGTCTTTCTCTCTCCAATTTTCCCAACTCCAGCTTGGTTTCTTTAATCAAAAGCTTTCGGTGCTCTATAGGCCCTTTAATTGGATGTCCTGCACTAGGGTCCTTTTGTAAAGGGCCCTCACAGTGTCTGCTTCAGCCTGAAACGCATATATGTTACTTTAACATTCAAGCATGGCTCACAGCAAGAAAGCTGACCATTTTAAACCGACTAAAGTGTACCGCCAGAGCGCTCTCTGAGCAGACAGCCATCGTCTCATCATCTAGAAATATAAAATTGTCTATTTTCTCCATATTCAGCGACCATATAGGTGACATACCAAAGGTTACGTTACCTCTGTATGAGGTGGTTGGTGATTTGGGGGGGGGGCAGCAACACCACCCCATCATCTGCAGAACAATAAAAAACATGTTACTTACTCCCACACAAATAGATATATTATATAATTGTGTTTTATAGCATCCCAGCTGTTTAAAGCTCCCTGACTCATACCCTGTATAAAAATGTGGTGGGAGCGGCTGCCACCAGCAACCCGGTATCACGGCAAGACGTGAACATGTGACGATTTACCATGCTGGGAGACGTGAAGATGTCACGATTTCGTCCCTTCAAACATGACAGCTACACGGTATTGTTAACCCATGTTAACTAGTGGAGAAATAACCGGAAATACCAAGCAAATGCTACCCCGACGTAATGATTTATTTTGTAATAGTCACACTCGATTACGACGATTTTCTTGTTGCCCCAGCTGGTCGACATCTCTTTTAGCAGAAACAAAGGCTACATTAATGTATTAAATCGATGTTAATCCGTGCGTGTAGATGTGGAATTAACGGACGTGACGTTGTGCGATTGAGTTGCCAGGCAACAGCTTCGGTTCATGTTAATTTACGGTTGTAGTTGAATAGTTTGTAGTTATATTTAAAAACATGTTAGAAGGCCTCACGAAATACTTTAATGCAAATTAAAATGTAAATGTGAAGGAATGTGTGTATAACAAAATACATCGGTCATAAACGAAACCGGAAAAAGACGTAGGCAAGATCCTCAGCTCGATGATTGGATGGTTTAGCCGCAATGCATGCTGGGATTTGGTGTTTATGTGATCTGAAATCTGAAAAGTTTTTTAAAAACACCATAATACTTTATTCCGAGTGTGCTTGCTTTTCTCTTTGAAAGTCATCACATAACGGCATTGTAATACACGGTTCGGCTGCATTAAATATTACATATCTGCCGTAATTCTCTATTTATAGAGCCCTGCTGAGAAGACTTCTAGACAAACGGGAGAACTGCCGCCAAAACTGAAGATGTGACGTGGATCATAAATATATAAGCAATTAAACATCATCTTACATTTCTTTTCACACAATGCGTCTCCGTGCAGTATCAACACTAATTCGGCTGACTTTTATATTTGATCCAATTGGTAGATAGGCTGTATTTACACCATAACGGTGCAGAGCTGATAGAAAGGGATTTTTTTGTAGTTTTTAAGATATTATTTTGTCTGTTTTGCACATCCTCCTATTAATATCTAATAATAAAATAATAAAATTCAATAACGTGCTTTAACCACCAGATGTGCCTTTCTATCAGCTGTGTACCGGTGCACTGTTGCTTGGCAACTCAATCGCACGTCCGTTAATTCCACATCCACACGCACGGATTAACATCGATTTAATACATTAATGTAGCCTTTGTTTCTGCTAAAAGAGGTGTCGACCAGCTGGGGCAACAAGAAAATCGGCGTAATCGAGTGTGACTATTACAAAATAAATCATTACGTCGGGGTAGCATTTGCTTGGTATTTCCGGTTATTTCTCCACTGGTTAACATGGGTTAACAATACCGTGTAGCTGTCACGTTTGAAGGGACAAAATCGTGACATCTTCACGTATCCCAGCATGGTAAATCGTCACATGTTCACGTCTTGCCGTGATATCGGGTTGGCCACCAGGGTCAGTACAGGGCCGCCCCTGGCCAACTTGGGGCCCCAAGCGACATTGTGAGATGATTTTATGGGAGCAATATATATATATATAAACTCCCCAAAACAGGCGAAAACCTACCAGTTTCACCCACTGTCTCTGCCACCTCCCTCCATGCCTGGTTCCTCCGGTTTGTATCCGGGTAGGTGAAGAGGGTCTGGTCATACAAAACCGGGTGATTTGCTACGGCGATAATTAGTTTCTCCTCCATCTTTTTTTGAAATATAGAAATGAACGGCGGGATATCTCTCCCAGCTTAGACGCGGTTTGATTGGCTACGGCTTGAGCTGTCAGATTTTCCGAAACGGGATTTGATTGGCTGGCGCTGGCTACTCCGGCGTCTGATGCCGGAGACGGCGGAGACGGACCGCTATGCTACCCACAATTCAGTTCGGCGAAAAAAAGCGGCAACGTGACGTCACCCCATTCAAAGTGAATGGGCAGATTGAAGCTGTCGACGCTGTCGAAGCTGTAGTGTGGACGGGCCGTTAGGGGTTAAGGGGAGAGGCTGAGCATCACCATGAAATGTGCAAATTTACATAAAAATGAATAAAAGGGGAAAAAATGCTCCATATTTTTTAGGCTGTAAACTTTAACTGTTATGTAAGCCAACTAGACAGACAGATTATCACTCTTCCTCCTGTACATTAGTAGATAAAAGGCATAGCATACTTCAATGAATGGCAAATAAAGAATGCTGGAAATAACTGCATCTCCATTAGCCTATATGCTCTGCAGAGACTGCTTTCTTCATGTCGTGAATTGCAGCTGATGTTTTAATATGGCAATTGGCAATTTGACTTATACAACATTCGCAAGTTGTACATTTGACTCATACAATAACCCACCTTCGAGTGATGCTCTAGTTTCTTCATGTTTTGTTTTTTGCGCCGGACTGAAACTGTCTTTTCACCGACATCTCTTCACCTGCACTAGTGGCCGTATCAAAGCCGTGATTGGTCAGATGTCGATTCATTACGGTGTCGGCTTACAGACGTGCTCCCCTTGTCACCTCTCACTCTCGCTGTCAGCGGGGGGGGGTGCGCGGAGAACTGAGCGGCGAACTGCGCACAGCAGCTGAGGCTCTCTGGGCGGGGCCCCCTGCGTGATTGGCCTGTAGGGAGGGGCGGCCCTGAGTAGAGACCCCCCCCCTTCCACCCCTACCATCAAGGGCCGACCCTCATTTGCCCCTTTCACACCAACGCGTTTTCAGCTCCGGCTCGGAGCTGGAGCCTGAAAAGTACTGGTTTTTCCTGAGCTTCGGAGCTAAGAGGCGGCGTCGCTTACGTCTCTCTTACGTCGAGGCGGGGACAGGGGCAGATTCGTCGTTGAAGTAGATGCTGAAGACCACAAAGAAGTCTTGTATTTCGCATGTGATGTTTGTAAAGTTCCAAGTAAAGTCGTTCCTTGTAAAGTCGTCCGATGCCTTCCAGTTTGTTTCGTAAGAGGATAACCAAAACGAACAGCGCTTCAATACAATCGGCCATTGTTGTTGTTGTCGATGTGAGGGATTACCGGGCGGTTTGGATTTTATGAAGCAGGCACGTAAACGGTGACGTCATGACGCAGCAGCGGTAGCTCTGGTCGGTGTGAACAGAGCGGGAGCAGAAAAGGGAAACCGGAGCTGAACCAGAAAAGCTCCCACTCGGAGCTAGAAAGGGAAAAGCGCTGGTTGAAAGCCACAATTGTTGCTAGGGCCAGCTCCTCGGCAGGGGTGAAATCTGCTGGAGGAGGGCCCCCTCCTGTCTTCCTCTTGTCTTTTGTTTTCCTGTTGGCTGCAAGAATTGGGAGCAAATGTGACCGCTTTCCTATACAGTTATGAAACACAGACTAATTGAAGCAATACAAAACGTGTAGTTTTAAGATCTCAAAAGAGGGACATTTACCAGATTGAATTATGTTCTTATATTTGATTTTCATTTGTTCCCAGGTCCTTTAGACCCGCCGGGGTTACATCTGAAAAACGAAACAAAAAATGTCATGTACAGCATGAATAAAAATGCTATAAATTAAAAGGATTACAAAAATATTAGGCTTAAAGTCCACTTGTGACCCTCAGGCGGTGATATTATAAAGAAAAAAGGCTGCCACTCACTGATCAATTTGGAATCTGGGTGTGACCCTAGATAACAACCTGTCCTTCACTGCAAACATAGCTGCTACAACCCGCTGCTGCAGATACACGCTTTACAACATCAGGAGGATACGTCCCCAGCTGACCCAGAAAGCGACGCAGGTTCTGGTCCAGACTCTTGTCATCTCACGCCTAGACTACTGCACCTCCCTCCTGGCTGGTCTACCTGCATGTGCCATCCGACCTCTGCAGCTCATCCAGAATGCAGCTGTTCGCCTGGTCTTCAACCTTCCTAAATTCTCCCACACCACGCCGTTCCTCAGCTGCCTTCACTGGCTTCCGATAACTGCTAGAATCCACTTCAAGACAATGGTACTTGCGTACCATGCTGCAAATGGATCTGGCCCTTCCTACATCCAGGACATGGTTAAACCGTACACCCCAGCACGTGCACTCCACTCTGCATCAGCCAAACAGCTCGAGGGGGACCCAAGTTCCCATCAGCAAAAACACGTGGGTTTGCTATCCTGGCTCCAAAATGGCGGAATGAGCTCCCCATTGAAATCAGGACAGCAGAAAGCTTACACACCTTCCAGCGCAGACTGAAAACTCATCTCTTTCGACTCCACTTCGAGCGATAGAACTATTAACAAGGCACTTATATACTAATAAAGGACTGGCTTACCTAAAGCCAGTTAAGTAGCACTTGAAATGTTTTTGCTCT